GGCTCGGTTTGATACATTTCATTAGTTTTACCCACCATGGATGTCAATTAGATTATAGAAGCAAGTATGCACTTACAATCCAACAAAATATTTTCCAGGGATGGATGCTGGTGGATTCAAACACTGTGATATGTCCAGGGACTAGGCCTCGACCACATAACCCACACAGGGACCAGTAAAATAAGTCTGCAGCTTAAACATCTGCACTGTACTATCTTCTTCATGACAACTAGTAGAAACTTCCAATTTGAGAACTGATGAAGACTCTCTAGATCTGATCTAGGCCTCCGCTTTGGCTGTCCTTGACTGAGGTATTGTGGCAAGTGCCTTTGCTCGGTCGAACTGCTTGCACGACTTCCTTTCTTTGCGTGCTCAAATTGTTGGGATGGCTTTCCTGTATTGTGTTACAGGGTTTGAAGCTGTGCTTGCGATTGAGAACACACTGACCTACTTATTTGTGATCGGGTCATAAGATGTTGGCCAGCGGTGTAGCTTGAGTTCCCAACAGAAGTTCTAACATGGTGGCCACCAGCATTGCTTGAGTTTCCAGCTGGTGTTCCTGCAATAAAACGTGATATTCGTGGCCTGACTAACGCTTCCAGGAGAGAGAACCGATTCTGATTAACCAAGAGAAGTTTATGGTAGGTTGCTTGAATGGCTTCAGATATCTTCACCAGGTTTCCAGAAGTGTTTTCTGGCTGCTCAAAGGGATCCTCAATATAAAATAGCTTCTAATTTCTTCCGACTGCCTCGTGAATGGACAAATTCCTAGCTCTGTGGCCTTTGACTTGTGTCATAAAACTGCAAATATTAAAAAATAGATCAGAGTATATCAATAAAAACACGGATGTAAGCTCCCCCAGGAAATGGGAAAAACAGGTCGAACTTTGAACAGCTTGCTTATCAGAGAAATTTCACCAAATTGTAGCCATGATTCCATGTCAAGGTCATTATTGCATCATAATCGCACCTGAAAACATATAAAATGGAGACATAAACCAGCATTCATGCAAGCCAACACGTCTTTCATCATGTACTCCAATTGCAGGAATTACCTACCAGGCACATAGAATCGTAAAATAAAATTAAATCACACAATAATTATTACCTTCGCAATGAATGGCCAGTGATTATCTACATCCTGTGAGATCCTATCTGGCCTGATTTCTTGTAATCTCGTTCGATATTATCTCATTACCACTATCACCATCATCTTACATTACGATCTTTCGAGAATTCATTACCGCCACTTTATCACCCCACTACTATTAGCACCCATTGCTATACTACTATCACTATTTTATCTATTTTATCCCATTACCACCCTTAAAGTCAAACTATTACTATAACTTAGAAGTCAGAAAAAAATTTAAAAAAACTAGAAAATAAAAAACCAATTAAATCCATTAAAATATTTAAAATAATATTCAATTTGGTTTTATAAGTTTAAAATAAAAAAACTCAACCAAACTAAACTGATTTAATTAAAAATAAACTAGAACCAAGCCTATCAAAAAGTTTAAAAAACCTAAAAAATAATATAATTTTTAATTTTTAATATAAAATAATCAAATCAAATTGAATATAATCAAAATCAATCCATTAAGCTTTTACTTTTAATATGAAATTAATCTAACCAAACTGAAATCAATTAATTTTTAATATGAAATTATCATGTCATTACCATATTTCTTCGTGAACATTTCATTACAAACTTTATTGTTATATTTTTTACATCACTACTAGTTGAATGTTGTAAAAAAAATTTAATATAAATTTATTTTATATAAAACAAACAATCTCCTAAAAGAGTTAAAGAGTTAATTTTTCACTAAAGTAAAAAATATTAGCTGAATTTTCCAACCACCTTTTGATTTCAAACCGAAGGTTATTTATAGCAAAAATACATCTTTTTTATCAAAAATTAAAAGAAAATGATAACTACAAATAAATTTATAAAAGTTCTACAAAACATAAACTCTATCAAATGACACACAAGCCAACTATAGATATCTGTGAAAGTAGGGTACCAAAAACAAAGCAATTAGAAGCTTATTATTATTGAATTTCATCTTCATTTTGCTTTTGCCTGCTGTTATCCCCCAATTGTTGTCGGGTTGCTTGTAGGAAAGACATCAACAACAAGGATCGATCGTTCGCTCTCATAAGAGGTTTCACCAAATTAGCAATGCTGATTAATGGTGGTGATTTCTCGAACTGGTAAGTGCACTTCCTAAGAAGACGAAAATCACATGGCTTGGCTGAAGGGGAGAATTATGCCCGCACTGGAAATGATGCCCTACCTAAATGACATCGATATATGATGTATCAGGAGTTTTTTGCTCTTCGATGAAACGCATTTATTACTAGAATCTGATGCTCCATAGATCGTTCAAATGCTTATTCCCCGTACAAGTTCACAGCATTGCCTATCCATAAGAAGCATGAGTTTTTATCACGAGTAGCATAAAACTAAAGTTAGGTTCAACATGTCAATTTCAGCACAAACCTGTTACGATCGTGGTCAGAATTCATGACATGAGGCTTCAGAAATTTGACATTGTTTCATCTGATGTCTTAAATTTGATTTCCTTTTCCTTTTCTCCCCGTTGAGAATCAGAACATGCTGTCTTTTGGGAATGGGACACAATTCTGTTCAAAAATTAAACCCTCCTGGATAAATTGACAGTACAATCGCTGTCTTCCGCATGCTGATCTTAACAGAATATCCGTTGCGGACATGGACTACAGAGTATAGAGAATTAAAGGCATCAAAGAGATACAAAGCTGAGGCAAGCAACAAGCAAACGGCAAGAAATATTGAAAACTTTTTTTCTACCGAACAACAGTATAAAGAAGGTATGATGCCATATTCCACGGCGTATGAAAATCTTGGACTGGGTTTTTTCGTTCGTTCGTTCGTTCTTTCTTTTCTTTTATTTTTGATGAATCAGAAGACAATAATATTATTAGAAAAGCTTAAAGAAAACAACAATGGACCGGGGTGTGCTCCTGATTTTAGCACGGTACAAGGAAATCCAAAACTCAAATGCTAATCTCAAAGAAAAAATGTGAATATCTTGTATTTACTTCTGCATGCAGGAGATAAAGTTTATATTGATGATCAAACACTTGCGTAACTGGTATAAGATGCACAAGGCTTAATTATAATTACTATTCGTCACCAAAAAAAATTATAATTATTAATAGATAAGAGCTCAATCGGTATTATACGTGTTTTTATTTTATCTATATGTTTTTCATATTAAAAACAGATTATATTTTTGTTTTAATAAAAAATGTAAAATGTCCACCGTCGGTTGTCAGGGTTTTTTTAACACCAGAATAAAGCATCTTCAGAACAAGAAAGTCTTATGTTTCATAGTTCTCAGAAGTTTAAAAAAACAAAAAGGAAAACGGCAAATAATACCAAGCAACCTCTTAAGTAATCATGCTATTTAATGTTCAATTCAGCACAGTCACAATATGCTCATTGTTTCTCTTGAGCGCCGAATCCACACAACTTTACTCATTTAGATCTGTTCTTATCTTAGTTAGTCTATATAGTCCGTCGGCCTGGAGAGGAAACCAGGCTCGTACACCGCAGAGAAACATCAAAGAAGTAGTTGAACAGCAACCACATCTCTGATGTCGCGTATTCCTTTTTGATTGTGTTGATCACTGGAAACTATCGTGTGTCATTGGCAGATCAGTTTGTCACTTATGCAGAGAAAGGTAGCCGAACGTTGACCTCTCCTGAGGTCTAGCTTTATAGTGACTGGCCACGAACTAGTGTTCTGAATGATAGTAATGCTATGAATATCAGCAATAGCGTCTCGTTGTGGCCAACTTCCAGATGCCGAAGAGTGTACTCTGAGTCATCCAAAACAATGCAAATGGCTGACCACTGATAGGTCTCCTCTCAAACAATAAGCTCTGTACTATCATGTTTCCAAGTGCAGAAACGCGATGGAGACCCATTTACCTAGCTAGCTAGCTTGTCATTGGATCGGGATTTACTTTTCCCGAGTGCAATTTTTGAATTATTTTTTGAAATAATATTTTCTCATTATTTTTTTATTTTTTACACTATAAAATATATTAATTTAATTGTTTTTCAAAAAAATCAAAAATCAAAATAAAATAAAATGGTACAAGCAGTATCCTAAACCGCTGTTCTAACATAAATGGCCCAGACTCATTCCGCACATCATGCGCTTGATTCACTAATCCAGTCAAAATAATTTACTTTTTGAGCAAGTAATTTTACTCGCAAGAAATCAATTACCGAATGAGTGTCAAATGATTCATTCGTAGACAAGCTAGATAAGTCTTCAAGACAATTGTGCCACCATCATCAAATCAAACCAAATCTAGGACAGCAGAGACAAAATGCTACGTGTCTGCTGATGATTGTATGTCCAGGTGAGCCCCCCACATCTTGTCAAGAATTTAGAATCAAATAATGGAACACGATATCCACCCTTCCATGTACCCCAAGAGGAACTTAATTATCATCTATCCATCCACAACATCCGCATTATCTCCAAAGTTGACCCCCTCCTCCTCTCTCATGTTAATTTTCCTTCCGAAGTAAAAACGGAGCATAATCAATCATATTTAACCGGGGAGTGTTTTAAACCAACAACCGCACAAGACGAAGCATATTGCTGGTTTCCGGCGATAGCAATCGACAGAGAACCAGAGTAGCATGCATGCACATTACATTTTTGATCGGATCGGCGGATGCCTTCATCTCATCCATGAAGAAAGCTAGTGGCAGCACCGTCTATTTGAATTGATCAGAAAGGATGAATTGTCTCCTTGGAACAAGAAATAATCATATTTTTCGTAAGGTCGTCCCTGCCTCTTCATTTCTCCGGCGTGGGGGAAAACAGAAAGAATTTTCACAGAAATTCCCCGCGATTTATAGGATATGATCAGACTTGGAACAATGGCACCGGGAATTTACAATCATGGAACGAAAAAAGAGAACCCAAAAATGAAAAAAACTGATTGATTACATCGAGGAATAAAGAGTCCCCCTTAGTTCTTATACACAAATTAGAAACCACATTCCCCGCCGCAACCATGCTTTCGTATTCCTGCAAATTTTCGCAGCCTGTAAACTAACCATTCGTCAAGCTCAGGAGAAAAACCCATGTAAGATTTCCTTTTCCCTTCCAAAAAGGAAACTAGAAAATACAATAAAAAAACCGAATGGCACTGCCCCCCCCATAATTTTTTTTTAATTGATCTAAATTACATTTTTTTTTTTAATCTCCTATTGTACTGTTAATGTTGATTTCTTCTCAAATCCACAACGACCACACTAATATTGTCCGTGCTATGCCTAGCCAAGGCCAACTTAGTCAACAGAACTGACGCATCTGAGCAGGCCCTATCAGAGCTCCCGATGGCGCCATTAGAACCTTGTGGTGAAGGTGGCTTTTGGGCACGGAGGCACATTCGCACAACCCCACAGGCAGTGTCATTTGACACCACATCCCACAGTCCATCACTTGCCAATATCAAACACTCATCCTCCTCCATCCGTTCCGTCACGGTCACTTCCGGTTCCGGTATGACGTAGGGCTTCAAGTAATTGTCACCTGATGACGAGCCAAAATAGCATGAGTACATGGATCAAGCAGAAACCAGCCACAATTTGATGGGGCTGTACTAAATCAAGTGCAATGTTAATTACCTATGGCTCTAGACATGGCCAAAACACCAAGGACTCTTGGGCCATCCCAATAAATCACGCGCCCACCAGCTTCTTGAATTCGAAGCAATTCATCTGGTCGATCAGGCTGTAATTACAGATATAAACAGAAGTTAGCAAAATAAAATCGAAATAAAATCTACATCATGATTAACAATAATATTATAATTAGGTCCTAAGAATTAAAAATGTGCACGGCACACGCCAATTCCTAAAAGTTCCTTAGCTATCAACAATCAACAAAGCTAAAGCTCAAACCTTGACCCACATCCGCACGCCTAATTCTTCTAGCGGAAACAACATTTCGACTTGTTCTTTAACATGGTTCATAAATAATCACTCCAAACAAAAACTAAAAGCATGGATCAATTTAAAGTAAATTATTAACCTCACCTTGTGATCAGAGGAGAGAGGAATAGCGACACCGTTTCGACAAAGCACGGCACGAGAATCGCCACAGTTGGAGACAATAATCTTCTCAGGCGTCACCACAGAAACCACAGCAGTAGATCCAACGGCGTCGCCTTGTGGCGTCTGTAACCCACACCTACAAGTAGAACTATTTTCTCCTTCAACGCACCAATTACCCACTTCTTTATCCATCTTTACAAAACTTCTCTCCATAGTTTCCTTCCATTCTACACTTTCTTCTTCTTTAAAACCTTCAACTTCTTGTTTTACAATCTCATGCAACCGATCTCTACACTTCATCGCCACCTAAATTAAAAAATAACACACCAAAATCAGCACCATAAAATAACATGATAAAAAGAAAACGAAAAGGACACTGGAAAGCAATTTAAGGAAGTTCGCTCTTACATGTGAGCAACCATGGCCGTCGAAAACACCAAAATACGAGGTGTTTTTTGTAGTAAAAGAAGTGTGTATCGAAACGGCGTCTTCCATATCTCTTCTTCTACCACAAACAGAAGTCATGCCGAATTTAAGAGCTTCTTTCAATTTCACAGATTCTGGTTTACTTGAATCCGAGATACTATTGTTTTTATTTTCTTCAATTCTTTTGCAGTTTTCTACTGCGTTACCACAATCACGTGAGATGGGAATGGGAAACAACTCGAGTTTCTTCTTTTTCGCCGGAGCGATATCCAAAATCGTCGACGGTGGAACAGACCCATCGGAAACCAACCGGAGTTCTAATCTCCTGCGCCTTGACGCTCGTGACCTTGGCTCAACTGGTGCAGCCGCTTCATTTTCAGCGACAACTCCACAGCAAATCCCAGCCATTTGTTCAAATTCACAGGCAATAAAAACACTTAATGAGCGAAAACAATCAACTATCTCCAAAATCCTCCAAGTAATAATTAATTAAGGGGGGTAACAGAGAGAGATGAAAGAGAGACGATAGATCTTTCTTGCACAGAGAGAGGAGCTATTAAATGGCAACGAAAAGGAGGAGGGCCTAAAAAAGCGTGATGTTTTCACCTGGGGGCCACAATGACATGACGGGCAGGACTGCCCGTCACCGTCACGGGCAAGAAGGATCCGACATGTACAGATGGTATGACATTGATCTACTGAATACGAAGGTGCTGATCTTCACCGTCCATTTTTCTCTTTCCTTGTAGTAGTTCACCACGTGTTACCTTTCTATCCACCTATTGACGTGTCCCAATAGAGTACTAACACGCGTTGTTGCAGCTACCTTTGTTTCCTGGCACGCATGTGGTCCTGAAATCTTATTTTAAGTATGATTTTGTGTATTTTAATAAATTTAGTTTGCTGCCGTTTAAACGGAGGTCTCGTTCTCTAATTGCAAAGATATCACCACGTGGCAGATATCTTCGAATACGAGATTCGTGTCTGATTACTCTCTCTGCACACGCGCTCCGCGGGTTACGAGTAACGACACAGGTAATAAGTGCACGGCCTTTTTTACGTTATTGCAATCTGCTGTCTTGGTGCGCTGCTCTTGGTTTTAGATCAGATCCCATGCGGCCACCGAAAAGAAGACTATGCTCTCATGTTGTAGAAACCTTCCCACGTGACACATGGGTGACATTTTCATGGTCGTCAATATTTTATTAGATCATCTTGTGTAATTAAAATCTTCAAATTATACGGTACCGCATTTACAGCAACTCTCAACTTCTAATATATAAGAAACAAATTTGCTCCGGTGAAATTCATATAATTTCAAAAATCATCAAAACGTTTAGGTGTCAGTGAATTTTTATAATCAAATTTAAATCAATCTCTTACTGTTTTCGTTTTTCCACGGCAGGTTGTAAAATTCGTATGCAAACAATAATTAAAAACATAAAAATAATACTTTGGGCTTTCATGTATTGAAGTAATAGTAAAATAATATTTTTTTTATTTTTTAAATTATTTCAATATCATCATTTCAAAATTAATTAAAAATAAATTTTAACAGATCTATATCCGTACCATACTCCTAAATTGTGGTTTTTTTTTCCTTCTTTCCTGGAAGGTAATAATTACAGGTATCTTTATCATAACAGTGGTAAACAGGGTGGTGGGGATGATATGCTCCTCTGCCTGCTCTTGTGTTGTCTGATAGAGCGTGAAACAACGCGCGAGATGGTGCATCGACCAGTGATCAATCTGGTGCCATCGCTTTATTCTGGTTGTTACAGTTGTTCGATGGAAGGGTCTCCAAAACGAGAGAGATTTGGACACGTAATGTTCCTCATGTCAACATCAATTGACTCGACCTTTTGCAGAATATCTTAATGTTTGGTTACTGTATTGCAAGACACGTGTCTATCAAATGACGTGGAGCTGAAGGTGCAAACGCCCCTCGGTTTTTGAGCACAGACATGTCTCCGGCGTTCAGACTTGCCTTTCCATTAAATTTTGCCGCCCTCGACCCAAATTTTGGATAGGTGTCGACCTTCCTAGTTTTATATGTGTTTCCAGTTTCCACCTTCTAAAAGGTAAATAGAGACATTCAAAATAATAAAAACTAGAATTGGAGTCACAGTTAGAGCTTCAGAATTATCCTTTTCAAATTGGAACAATTATAACGTTACGTGAGTTTTCGAATTTGATTCTGGTTCGAGCAAAAAATAAGATGCGTCCTTGTATTGATTTGTGATGCCGTGATTCATGTCATGAGGTCAAATAAATAGAAGGAAGTGTTATTTTTAAATTAATTAGGGTGTTTGAATTAGCTTGAAAGTCTCACGAGTTTTAAAATTAATTATTATTTAAATTTTTATTAATTTAAAAATTTTAAAAACTTAAATTAAAAAATAAAAAATAAAGTCAAAATCTCACCTATTAAATAATACCCTTCTAGATTAGTTTCAGAAGTGCTGTGAATGCAAAACATCTCATGTTGTGATGGGATATCCTCCGTCAGCTCCGACGTGCCCATGCTTGCTTTTCTTTCATTCTCCGTGGCTCGTTGATTGTTGTAACAACCAAATGACTTCTGACCCTATATTATGACCATGTTATACGATAGAACAAGAGGCGGTGTTATATGCTTCAATGCTATTTGTTCGTGTTTCATGCCGGGTTTTTTTTTTTTTGAAGTGTTTTTGTAAGAAGTTTGTTTAAGTGTTTTTTTTTATAATTTTAATATATATATATATAATAATATTAAAAAAACTATATTTTTATAAAAAATATACCGTACCATTACCAAGCATCTTCTGACTGGCATCCTTGATTTTTCGAAGCTCCATGACAATTAATGTAATTGAACTCCCAGAAAATCGCTGATGAAAATAACTTTTAGAATTTTATCAAACATTATTTTATTAGATTTTGGATAAGAAAAAAATACCTCGGAAACTTATATAAAAACTTGCTTGCCAAACAAGCTCTCGATCCATATTGCCAGGAAAAAAGCCTTGATCTCAACTCGTGTATGCCTGTGTTGCCGAGGAAGCCGCGAGAGGACCCGAGACAAATCCTCGCACCATCCATAAATTTAAACTATTTAAGTAAATGATGGTTTAACCAAACATTTGGTGCCGACCAGATAAGGGACGGCCTGGATCTATGATTTATATTATGGTTTACATTTTTTTAAATACATCTGCTTTCCTTGTCGGGATCTACCAGAACTTCAGCTAATCGATCGAGATATGAAAAATTGATGCGTCTTAGTGGATTGAGGTCTCACCTATAAAAATATAAAGATATACTTTTTAAAAAAAATACCAGGTGCATGTACATTAATTTTTCAGAAAACGAGTTAAAACGTGACATGCATTAAAATTGGTCCGTCAATCAGACACTCCCTCTCCATCCCTGTTTCAACGACTCTCGAGAGTTTTCAAAGGATCAATTTTAAACATTTTTTTTTTCGAATCAGATAAAGATTTTAAAGCAATAGCTTTAAAAAAATATAAACTCTAGTCTCTCTAAAAATTAATTCTTTATTTTTTTTTATCATTAAAGTCAGTTATTGGTTAGAGTTTAATATTTCTGTTTACTTTTCGAAACTAACTACTAGGATTATAAACTTTCACTATAAGTCATGCGCAAAAAAATTGAAAAGAATCTAAGGAGCCGGTTTGACAATATATTTTAAAAGTTTTTTTTATAAAGATTTAAGTTTTTTTATTTTAAATTAATATATTTTTAATGTTTTCAAATTATTTTAATATTTTAACCTTGAAAATATTTTTTAAAATAAAAAAATATTATTAATACATTTTTTTAATAAAAAATATTTTAAAGTACAATTTCAACCCAGCATAATACCTATCGATGGATTACGACAATTGTGTAATTTGAAATTTGGGATCCCATCAACCCGCAGTAATTATTCACACCGATCCTTGAAAAGTAAAAGAAGCACCTGGCATCTAAAGAAAAAAAATACATTAGTTTAATTAATTTATTTATCTGTTGTTCTTATTGCACTTACGGTATATAATTACTGCATTATACCTGTCCTGCATTCAAGTACAATGTTTTGATTTAATTCTCAACTAGGATTTTGTGTCCGCGCCTCACTACGAGTAAATTCAATGGGTATATAAAAAATATATATAAAAAATGTTTTTTCCTTTGCTTGTACGTGATAAAACTTGAAATAATGATTGATTAAAAATTCAATGGGTATATCAGAATAAATTAATTAATCACTATAAACATTAATAAAAAAATAAAAAAAGTTTGTATAATCTATTTGACAAAGCGAGGAAACAGTAAATTAGCTGCTTAACTTAATGGTTATTTGTCTTTTTTTTTTAAAAATGATTTGTTATTCTAGTCTCATCTAACTTTAGCTCAAATAAAAAAATAAAAAATTATCAAATGATTAAACAAAAAAAAAGTTGAGAGAGCTTAAAACAATAAACTGGTTGCATGACTAATTAAATGGTGATATGTTTTTTCATAAATAAAAAAATCGTATGTCATTTTAGTTTTATCAAACTGTGGTCAAAGAATTAAAATAAAATAAAATTGGTGATCTATTTTTTTTCAAACAAAAACTCATTTGTCACTATAGTCTAAATGTGAAAATAAAAAACCACCAAAAGATTAAACCATGTAAAAATGAGGGGGTGTAGTTGAAAAAACAAAAACAAACTATATTGATTATGGTAAATCGTGAAATTTACAATTCAGATAATAAATATGCCTATAATCAGTCAACCCAACTCCGTGATTTTCCTTTCCTCGTTCTTTTTCTAGCTAGGCTTTATCCGGCTTTGGTCAACTACAACTCAGATTAAATCTATAATCAAATTCATAATTATAATTGTGAAATAATTTAAGTTGAAACTTCACAAATATATTATTCTATATTGATCACATTAAGCTTTAATCAACAAGTAACATTTAGAATTTAAGTCAAAATATGATTCCAATCATGCATTTTTTTTTCTAAGCTAAGTGACAAAACATGATGAAATGGTTTTTTATTCAAATTTAAATATAAAAAATTAATGATAACAAAGAGATGTATTAGATTAAAAAAAAAATATCCAAGTGGAAAAATAATTAAAAGAAGCCCTCTACGATGTGTCACGACCCATCGAATTAACAATTTACACCGAGGGTTTAATGGGGTCTAATATTTTATTTTAATAAATTTATTTTTGTATCTAAATAAAAACTAAAAGGAATTATAAAGAAAAACCTATCAAAAAGTTCTGGAGGGCGGGCCTAACAGCGAGCGCGTCTGAGCATATATATATAAAAAAACCCTTTAAAGAGATGGATGAAAGCCTTAGGCCTTGTATATTAAAAAAAAAAAAAAATTCAAGGGGTGAATGATATATACCTTTTATTTAAAAAAAATAATAATTAGATGACATGTTGCTTGTCTATCTAGAATCTAAATACTACATTGATGACTGAAAAAATCATGATATTGGTATTTATGCTTAAAAATTATTATTTTTTTATTTTTTTGTTAAAAATACCTCATAAAACCTCCCACAACACTTA